TGGCCAATGACAGAAAGAGGGCAAAGAAACAGGGCAATTTCAGGGTGTTTCAGACCCCAGCATGTCCTCTCAGCTTCTCACAATCAGCTGTTTATGATCTTTTCAGAAGGAGGTTACACATTGATTTCTTTCAGCCAGTCAGTTTCTTTTAGTCAGTTAAATCAAGGAAGCCAAGGTTTTGCTAAAGAAAAACAAACACCCAGATACACAGCTGCAAATTTAAAAATAGAAGGAAATTACATTTCCTACCCAGAAGAACTGAGGGGTGGGATGGAACAAGCCATGCCACCCCTTGTGTGGGTTATAACAGAAATGGAGAGGGGAAGATGTCTGCTTCCAATAACTGTTCTTCCAGCTTCTCTAGATGATGAGCCTTGCAGGCTGGCTAAGGTAACCTTCCCTGACACAGAGCTGGCTATTACTTTCAAAGGTGCAATTCAGTTCCAGCGGAAGCGCGAAAGATTAAGCTTTACTTCCACTCATTGCACTCCAGGCAGTGGATGAAGAACAGTCTGTTCTGAAGAACAGTATTTCTACTCTGATGATTCAAAACAGCTCTGATGGTATTTTCCATAAACCAGCCCTTAATAGTTCTAAATCATTAAACCATCATTCAGACATGCTTCCCAGTAAAATGCCTCTTAAAGGGGCCCCTGAACATTTTAGCATCCAGAAAGAGGAAATCAAGTCTTTGGAAGTCTGTAGACAGAGGAGTAGGATGGGGACTTCAGCAAGAAGAATGTGTCTGTGCAGAAACCTCTCTGCCACTGAACAACTAAAGGATTTGTCCAGATCAATGACCTCGTGCCCTTGGTACAACTCCAGCACTTGACCTTCTTTGGAAGCTGCTTTTAGGCACATGAAAAGGAATCTCACCAGAGACAGGAAATCTATTACAGTTAGGGTATCTGACTATCCTTCCCAGCTGCATTCCTTCTGTCACATCTTTTTTTCTCTTTGATCACTTTCTTTTGGTGGTCGGTCAGCTTTCCTACTCGGAAGTGTATTTTTATTTTGCTTTGTGTAGGCTTGCTACATAGCAAAAAGTATGGCTACAAACACTGAGTTAGTACCTTGAATCAAAGATCAAGCTGCTGGTTACAAGATCAGCCTTTACACTTGTCATTAACAACCTATTCTGATTTTACAGTAATCAATACTCAACAGGGTCAATAAGAACTTTTTCACTGACCTTAATAGGAGCTGGAGCTGGTCCCAAATATCCTGGGGTTTGTTAGCCTGAGCTTTTATCTTCTGCAATGCTATAACAGTGATATTTATTAAAACTTTGCAAAAAGAACCACTGTTATTAATGTGTGAGGCCAAATATAGTTCCATCTCTTTAACATGCTGGCATGGTACCATTAATTACAAGACATCAGAATAGAGTGGTGATACATAAAGCTGAAATTCCAATTAGAAAGACGTACCCCGATTTCTGAATACACCTGCAATGATTGTGACATTTACAATAAAACAGTCTATCTCCAAGAAAGACAGAGATGTTTTAATAATGTAACTTAATTTTATAATCCCTATTTATAAGATGCCGCTTTTTATCTCCAATATAAAACACAGTGGAGTATTGTTGTTGATATAATAGGATGGTTGGCTTCTTTTCTACCATGGTGAAATCTTTGTTATGAAAAGAGTGTAGAGATAACAATTTAATGACCATTGTGAAGTGGAAGGGAAGGGTGAATGGTGAAAGAGGCCTTATTCTCTCAATTGATGAGTTTTCCTGTAACACTTATCAGCCTAACGTCCAAGCAATTCTCATGCAACCACAAGTTTCTGCCCTGCTACTAGTGAGACCCAGGTAAACGTTCTTACTTCAGTTTCACAGAGGTGTGATCTGAGGAGGGTGGTGTTTGGATGACACTGGGAACACATCAGGCAGTGGGAAACAGGATCAAGATTCTCTCTCTGTGAGTTCAATGTCTGCATCCCCCAGACAACCCTCCAGTGAGTGAAGTAAGTGACCAACCCAAGCTTGCACAGTTTGACTAATGGAATTTGTGAATGGCTGGCCCATTAGCCGAAATTGCAGAGGACCAGAACAGAATGGGAGGAAGGATGAGCAGACAGAATGCTAATCCAGCAGCTCTACCACATACTTTGTTCATCTTCAGCAAATTGCTTGGACTCTTGGTGCATCCATCTCCAATGTGTTAAGTGGGTTACTTTGAACCTACCTTGCAAGGGTCTACAGAAGCAGTGAGTCGAAGATTGTGAGATGTTCACAGAAGCATTTGGGAGAATCCAAGATATCTGCAGGAAAAAAGCCCAGAAGTTTAAAGATAAAAGTCTTCTTTTACCTGGGTATGGACCTTTCACCTCTTCATATTGTTTCAGTCCTTTAAATTGGCAAAGACTTGAGTAAGGTTGAGGATCTTACCCGACAAAACTGTAAGTTTGTCAGGAACCAGGAAAAGGGAAGCGGCTATTTTGCTCCAGAGGAGCTCTTCTCCACGTGAGAGTGAAAGAAACAAGAAGTTTTTCACTAGGCTGGTGCTGGAGGAGGAGAAAAGATGATTTATTTTCTTTTTAGAGGAGAAATTCCTTTTGCTACCTGGTGGCAATAGGATTGAGAAGAGGCATTGTTAAAACAAATACATACTTAAGATATTTCATAATTCACAAAAACATTAGAGACTCCTAATGATAACTGACTGTGGAAGGAATGTACTAAAGATAATAGGCACCAGAATATCTATAATGAGGAGCGAAGGCCAAGAGATCTCTAAAACAAGGAACATCTATCTTTGAGTGTCAAAACTCCCCTTTACTCCTCTTTTACTAGTCAGCAAGATCCACTAATTATTGTCCCCTAAGTGAACCAACTAATTATAATATGAAAACCACACCTCTGTTGGAAGAACTACCCACCTCCAAAGGGAAACCCCTACTCACTGAGCATGCGTAGTGATTTTAAAGGGAGCTCTGTCTTTAAATCGAAGCGAAAGTAGAAATAACCAATGACTAACAAGTAGGTGTTAACAGTAGGAGTAGTGACTTTGTTTAATTGTATAAATATGTGAAGCAAGGATAATGGGGTGTGCTAGCTCTGTGGAATTACCACCTAGTACCCATTTCTGTGCAGAAATGGAATAAAGCAAATATCTCCACTCAGTGTGTGAATTGGTTCTTGCACACCAGGTAAAGAACCCATCTTTGGGACAACACTAACATTCACCGCTGGCATCCTGCTTTGGGAGCTCAGAGAGCTGCTCAGACATTAGCTAATTACATTTGGCACAATCGTCTCATTTTACATGCAGGAAGACACATTAGGTCGTATGGTCGGCTGGTATAAAGTTTTTATTTTGGCAGCATGGCTCATGTACTCCAGCTGAGGACAAGCCCCTTTGTTTCCACTTCTTATATGTAAGGAAAACTCACAACCTTTTATCTGCAGTTCCATATAGTGAGGAAGGACCAATATAAAAGTTTCCCTTTGTGTAACCACAGTTGAACCAGGAGCTCCCAACCTGCTAAATTAATATTTGTTTTTGTTTGTATGCAATATCAGCTGTTACCAGAGTAACACAAAAGCACTGACACTGAAACTTGACTCAGATTGTGATCCCAAAAGAACAGCAGAACTAGGGTTTCTCAAAACATCTGCAGGACTGCAAGGAAGTTAAAAAAAAAAAAAGGAAGAACACAGTGAACAGTGGCACTGAGGTCTCACAGGTCAGAATGAGACTTCATCCTGCTCGTCTGGCAGAAGCATTGCCACCAATTTCACTGGGCGCTAGATCAGTCCCACAGTTTCAGAGGAAAGTTTGCCACTGGATTTTGAGAGGGAAGGAAAGAGAAGGGGAAAATATGGCTTCATTCTATGATTCACTACCTGTACAAATGCTAGCTTATCACTGCCACATACAGAATGAGAAAAGTGGGAGTACAACAGAACTTTAAGAGCTTACTTTTTTCTGATGGCTGTAAGTCAAAGAAATCTGTGTTCTTGGCTCTTTTCCTTGAAAAACATTTATTTCTTGATAAGGAGAAAGGTGACAAAATAAGGCCATTAATCAATAAGATATTACACATCAGTGGTCACTGTACTCACCTGGACCCTAAGCTGGCATTGTTTCCCCTTATTGTGGCTGAAGGATCAACAGCATTTCTCCCCAGTTGTTCCTCTGGAAGCTTTGACAGGCAGGTAAGCAGCTCATTAAGATCATCAGCTTAGAAGGTCACTGGGTCACTGATTCCATCACCCAGCCATTGTGACCCACCACGAAACACACGATTAAGCCCAGGCAGGTTCGCAAAGGTCATGTATTTATCACTGTCTGTGAGTTCAGGGATGTCATTCTACTGTCTTACCCAGCAGAGTAATGGCAAACATATGCTAAGGTCATTGGGAAAACATATCTTCAGGTGAAAACCTGGGAAATGCATCTAAGGGTGCTTGATTTTTCAATACTGATTTTAATAAGGCAAGAATTAATCCGTAATCACAGAATAACTACAGAATAAACTCAATGTAAAAATAAAACATCCAAATTACAAAAAATGAATTAATGCAAAAAAAGAATTGTCTTAAAGCTTACAACTACCCTGCGCTTGGGATATTTTTTATAAAGGAGAGCTAAAATGAAGAGCAGAGACAATGCTATTTACACATGGAAATCAGTACATCTGTACTGAGTAGATGCTTGTTATACTGAGGTACTCTTAGAGGAATGTCTGAAGAACGACCTGGCCTGTGATTAGAAACTCAGTCTTCATCCTACATGGTTAGATAAGATTGAAATTTGACTGTGAGTCCAAGACATCATACAGAAAGGAGCAACCCATATTTTGCTTTTATTTTCCATGCCTGACTAAGGCCAGTGGAGCACTGTAGAGGGACAAATTCCAGTTGTGCAAGAGTGGTCAGTGGGACTTCCTGAAGTTAACTCCCCTTCCCCAGTTTCAGATCTCAACAGGCAGTAATTTTCTGCTTGAAGACAGTTGTAGCTGGAAAACCATCTCATCTGGCCATTTGATCAAAGGGTGGAGGACTGTGCACCGAGAGGGGCTACTCTTGTCTGAAACCACTTGCTGAAATCCTCTTCTGGCATCTGCACAATACTCTCACGTACAAACTGAAACAGAAGAAGGTTCTTTCCTGAGCTTTTGATTTATGTGTGAGAGAGAGATAACATGTGGGAAAATCTGACCATTATGACAACAGAACAAATCTAATGGCTTCTGCAAACAGTTAGTATAGTGCTTTACATCACCAAAACATTTTTAATGCAACTTTCAGAAGAGCTGTATATGCTCTAAAATGAAGTAAAATGAAAACTCTACAATCTTCATTGTAATTTATATCGTGAATCCTTCCAAGTCAAGTCTTCGTGTTTTAAAGTTGCAGCTATCTTCTACCTACCACTGCAATACATACATTAAAGCAACTTGAAATGCAATAAGAGCTTCATCTGGAATCTCTGTTAGTAGCAGCCAGATCATGTTCAGTGATGCTCTCCTTGCTCCTGAAATGCAAGTTTCCTTTACCTATTCCAGTTAGAAGGAGCACCAAGGTCCTCCTTCCTCTGTGGCTATTTTTGAAAAACGTATAAATAAGTAGATAGAAGATTCAGCCATGCTCACGTGTTTTTCTCTATTACTACTGCACTAATATGAGGGATCAAAATGCAAAGGCAATAGAATGGAAACAGCAAAGAATAGATCTAAAACCAGCAAGCAACAGAGACATATATTGAACATTAAGGCAAGGCTGCCTCTCTGGTTAGTGACTATGCACATTAGGGCACAAGACAAAACGGCTATTTTTATAAGACACCAAGAAAATACAGGTAGTCTGATCTCAACATGTTGGATGCAAAACCTTTGTCTTTGTAAGGCATGATAACACTCGATATATGTAAGAAGCACAGTAATCTGCTGCCTCTTGGAGATTTCTGTTGGTCTTGTAGATTAGGGGAAATAACTGTGATGAAAACAAAAGACACAAGGTGGCATCATTGCCATTTTTGTAAGTTAGTTACCTGGTTAGACTACATAGCGGTATACATTCTAAATGTATTCTCTTCCCTTTCTTGTGTCCTTCTGTTTCTGCCAGTTGTTTCTAGAACTACAAGAGTTGAAGCCAACTTAAGATCTTGAGAAGCAGATTTTTTTTTTAATGTTGCTGAAGCAAAACAAAGATATCTGCAGAGTTCCTGAATCAGTGATGTAATACATTACTTGAATAGCTCATGGATGTAACTACTGGGAATGACAGGCCTCTTCAGGGCACAGGAAGTGAATGCTTCTCTTTGAGTGTCCTAAGAATTTATGACAGATGTCACTTTCACCATGGCAGTAAATCAACAATGACATAATAATAAAATGATACTGATCAATAATTCAATGCTTGTCACAACATCTTTCTTCTGAGGAGTTCAAAGTACCTCGTAAAAGGTGAATAATAGCGTCTTTATTTAATGAGATCCTAAATGATTTAATCTGGTAACTTTCCACTGCATGAATTTCACCCATAGGTGCCTGCTTTCCCCACTCTCATCACACAGAAAATCAAGAACTGGACTCATCTCACCTCCACAGCTGCAGCAATTTCTGGAGAACACAGCTCCCACACCTGTAGATCAGCCAGAGCCTTAAGAAAGGTGTCTGGATGAATTTTCAAGTCAGGAATCTTGCCATATTTTTCCAGTTTCTTTAAGATTTTCTGTACATAATGGTCACTCTTCACAGACTCTGGGAGTCTGGCAAGCAACACAGGAAACCTTTAGCAGAAAGAACAGCAGCAATAAAAGAGAAGCCTTGGGAACAAATGCATACCTGATTAATAACTCTGGGTTTGCCTGGCATTTCTGCCACTTCACCACCTCCATAGCTTCCACAGAAAAAATGGCTCTTCAGGGAATGCAATACTGAGCATAATTCTGAGTGAATAATGTGAAAGAGCTTTATTTTATTGGACTTGTGCACCAATTCCCTTTGCAGGGCATTGAAATAGATGCTTCTTCATTGTTCATGTAAATTTTGGATGACAAACTTGGGTATGAAAGCAAATTATAAAATCCTAACATGTTTCCATTTTACTACAGATTTGTCCTCTTCATCTTTTGTTTAGCCTCTACAGTTTGTGCAGTGCAATCAGTGCCTGATCTGATACACTTTCTGATTCTCTTCACTATCCCTTTTCCCTGTGCTATCACCATTCTCCTCTCTCTATGCTGACATAAATCTCTATGTGCTGACACAAGTGTACTGTAACACGCAGTCTTTACCATTTCACTCTGAATATAGAGATACAGAAGGAGAATTACACATTACAATAAAAATAAAACTCTTGTGAAAAGACTGTCTTTTTTTTAAATGTTCCGTGTAAATTCTGCAGTGCTGCTTTGACAGTCCTAGAGACTGACGTTCCAAACCTTTCTAGACAGTGCATGACTGGGGTGTGCTGTGGCTTTCATTGCAAAGGGCTGAGGATTGGGAAACACATCAGTAGGAAGTGCTGCCTCCCTCCAGTTTAGGATACATGTTCCTGGGACAGCAGGAGCAGGGTCAGGAATTTCCTCCTTAAACCAGTAAAAAAGGAAACATGTAGGTTCTATGTCTTCAGTAGGGCCAGTTCTACACTCAGTAGTACACTGCTAGTATGGGTATGGCTGTATAGCCAACTCCTTATTATCACCAGCTAGATTACCCGGATTACTGTAATCGTGTCACACACAGGCCTTTTATTACCCATCCATACATTAAGATATTTTATTTGAGAAAGAAACCTTATGTTCAGTGTACTCTTATATCTCACTGTTCATATTTTATATCATTTTTGGTTTTTCTCACTTCATGAGAGAGACAAGACAACTAGACGGCAGCATATACTAGTAAAGTGTTCCTACTGTGATTCAGCTTTCTTGGCAAGGCAGTGTTTGCAAGACTGGGAAAAAAGAGCCCTATTGTAAATGAAGTAAGTAGTATGGTGAAAGCAATTTCTCTGTCATGGCTTTGTGTCTCCACAAGGGGGTTGACCAGCCATGTCAGAGATTTCACTCTTCATACCTCTTGTGAATAGCACTTCACAGAAAAGGCCTGGCACAGAAAGCTATACTTGTCTAACTGTGTTGGCATAGTGAAAGCAAGACAGCCTCCTCGCTATGAAAGCACGATTTTCACATGAAGGAACAGCAGACTTGTAGTACTGTTCTTGCATAGGGGGAAAAGTAAAAAGCCATGCTGGTATAGTCTCCTTTATACTCATGGAGCTTTGCCCAAGGCTTCTTCTAGCAGAACTGTTAAGTATGAAAGCAAAATCACACCCACTCCAGTTTCAGGGCTTATTTACATGTTAGATCTTAAATTTGGGGGACAGTGGGAATGTATATGTTTGACAATTAAAATCATATTTCTGCTAGATAGGCCAAGACTAGGTTTATTCATTAACACATGACTGACGTGTTCCTGGGCCACCTGTATTTTGAACCTGAGATTAGAAATGGACTTTCTGTTATCTCAAATTATGAAGGACAGAAGGCTTACTAGCAAGGAGAGCAAAAGAGGGCAGGCTGATAAAAAAAAGTTCCATGCAGTTTACATACTCTGTAATCCCATGTCCAAGGAGTTCTCATGGACAGGGCAGCAGGTAACATGCTGTGAGCTTGCTGAGGTATTCTGGGAAGCTATTTCTGGTGTGTATCTGGAAGCTGATCGCTGGATACAGCTAATATCCTTTCAAACATAAAACACTAGTAATCTGCAAAATTGCTGTACTGGGAAGCATTTAGGTGATTACTCTACTTGCCCTTGTTAAGTGTTGCAGTATTATCCATGTGCAGTTCATAAACACTGTGTATTTGGTTTGTGTGGCAAGGTTTTGGCAGCGGGGAGGCTACAGGGGTGGCTTCTGTGAGAAGCTGCTAGAAGCTTCCCCTACGTCTGATAGAGCCAATGCCAGATGGCTCCAAGACAGACCCACTGCTGGCCAAGGCTGAGCCAATCAGTGACAGTGGTCACGCCTCTGGGATAACATAGTTGGGGGTGGGGTGGGGGCCGCGGGAAACCAACCCAGGACACAAACTGCAGCTGGAGTGAGAAGTGAGAATATGTGAGAGGAATGACTCTGCAGACACCGGATGCAGCGTGTTTTACATACTTCCTGGAAGAAGTGTCCTATAAAGCTACATGCTGGAGAGGGTGTGCAAATACAAGGACTGAGTGCTTTTTGCCCAATATAACTGGAAAGGAACTCTTATTTATCTCCTTTCTTACCATTTCCAATTAACTGATTTGCTGGGTAGGCTGAGATCTGCCTCCTAGAGATTTTATCTATATTTTTGTTGCTACCAGTTTGAAAAGCCTGCATTTCCAGCAACTGATTCAATGGTTTCTAGTGCTACTTTGCTTTGGGGAGAAAAAAAGAAAATTAAAAAAGCTTTTTGTACTAAAGACAGAACTCTGGGACCCTGACCACCTTATCTGAACTGAGGGTTTCTGTAAACTCCTTACCAGTTTAGTCCATCTTCATCACGTTCTCTTTCGGCTCTCAGGCCCAGCTGTCTTATTCTTTCCATGTCTCTTCTAAAACACTTCAATTGTTTCAAAGCCTGGTATTTTTGACAACATCGCTCTTCCTGCCTCCTACAAAAAAACGTTGAAAGTTAAAGCTGTGTTTTAAACATTACCATACTTCTGCATAGTTGACTGGGAAACAGAAAACAGAAAACAATGAATGTGAAGAACACATTGTATGTTCAGTCTGTGGACACTAATAACAATTTTTGCTTTTGCAGTGTTCTGTATACATTCATATTTCTACAAAGATATTAAAAAGTGTTTATGTTTTATATCAACTCTAGGCTGTAGGTAAGAAACAAACTTCAGAATCAAAACATTTAAACTGACATTCAACCTCCAATTTCTATCAGGTATCCACTGCTTAAAAACAAAGAGAATACTGCACAGTGATTTAGGGTAAAATATTATTTAAAATACAACAGAAGAGAGGTGGAATAGAGTGACCCAAGCTAGAATTTCGACCCAGAGACTGGGCTTACGTATGCACTCCTACAAAAAGTACCACTGTATTATAACAAAAAAAACCCATCTGCTTTTCTTCTCCTACAAAAAGTACCACTGTATTATAACAAAAAAAACCCATCTGCTTTTCTTTCCGTTAAATTACTTATACTATATCCTGCCAAACTGAGGTTTCATCTCCAAATGCTGATCAAACAGAATACGCTTGTGGGGCTGTATGGAGAATTGTAAAATAGCTGCAAGTAGTAAGCTTCCATCTGACTTGTCCTTCCATACCGCAGGATGCTGGAGTGATTAGTTCCTTATGCAGTCACAGCACCTGCTCAGGGAAGAAAACAAGGACCCAGCTCCAGATAAAGAAAGCTCTGGGGACAAAAAAAAAAATCTAGAGTACAAAATGGAACAGAAGAATGTTAAGAAGGAATAAGTGAGAGGCAAAAGAAAACTGCCTATAACACCCTTCAAAACAGCAATGTAGAGAAGGTCTGATGCTTACTGAGACAAAAGAATTTGCACAAACGTCACAGATTAATGTTTCTGGGTGAAAGGAAAAGGATGACAGGCTTCGGCTGGTCAACAAGGTAGAAATGTCACTGATCTAGGAAAAGGCCTTGAAAGAAGACATTGCAACTGCTACTATAAGAAGGTCAAAGTAATGTTGAAGAACAATACAGTGATCTCTGAACTGAAAACACAAGACAGCCATATATATTGTATGTGACCGAATTTACTGCTGTCTTTGGATGAAAAGGACTACAATGTCCAAAGTAAATATATCCAATGTTTTTTTAGCAAACTACTTCCAGAAAAGTCATTCGGAAACATCCCAAACACTGCTGTAAATATTTAACCTGTAATATATTTTTTTGTACACAGTCATAAAACTTTCTATCATCACCCCTATATTCTTATTTTAATGTCAATCCATATAAATGCATCTTTAAAGGGCTTGAAGACAAGTCCTAAATCTGGTCAGAAGCAAGGTGTGTAGTATTTTAAGAGTATACAGAAAACAGTCTCTTCCTACCTCTCAAGGCGCTCTAGAGTATCATGTAAACAACAAGCTGCTTCTTCACGTACTGCTATGAACTTTTGCCTCATATCAGCACACAAGTTAGCTTTCCTTTTAATGAAAGAGCTGATATTGCAGCTGCAACTAAAACAACACAGAAAACTCAAATGAACATCTTGCAGTAACCATTTTCGGTAAGCACTTGTGTTGCTCAAACATACAGCAATGTGAGCCCACATAAATTTTGAGATCTCCTTATTCTCAGTAAAAATCCAAATTTAATATAATTTACATTTTTTTAAATTAACCAAATTTATGAAAGAATTTTACAAATAAAAAAATTGTAAATTATGTTAAGTTTGCATTTGTACTGTCTTTCATCCCAGTCCCATCCTTCCAGGAAAGTGCCTTCACATTGCATTGAAATGTGCTAAGTGTGCTGCAAGGTTTTGCTGGCCTGCTCTGGTCTCCTGTAATAAAATGCTCTCTGACATTTGCATGCCAAACGCTTTCCACAGATAGAGCTGAGTTTATACAGCATATAATGTGCTTCAAAACCAAACTTGTACCCTTACCCCTGCCTTCTGGGCCTTTGCTTCCTTGATATTATACTCTCTTGGTCCTTAATGAATGGCATGTTTACTCTGTAAGTCTTCTGAGCCACTAGCAACAAACTGTAAGACACAACAAAGTTTAAAATAGCATACAGTATGGCTTCCCCAGAATGTGAAAAATTCTACATAAAACATTCTTAATATTGCAGACTTGCTGGAGCTATCCAGGTACAAAATTTATTTCTCTTGACCTCAACTCAAGGGAAAAAATGCTTCAGCAAAGTCTAATTGTAAGAATGGTTTGTCATGTTGATCTTATAGCTGTGGAAACCACCACAGAACTGAGTAATGAGGGAACACATCTAATATACGCTTAGCTGGAAACGTTATAGAGACACAACTGAAAAATGCAATGGTAGAAACAAAAACAATTCTACAGGAATAAGATAGAATATTGCTTTTTCTACAAAGCTGTTGGAGCATAAGGTCTCTTCCATTTGCAAAGGCAAGATTAATGGGGTATTTTCCAGAAAATACATACTGCTTGCACAGCAGTAAAATGCGCTATTCTGCCACCCATGCCAAAAGATGTAAATGTCATCTGAATTCACCGAATGCTGAATTCAGTTGTTCGGGGCGGGGGATGGAAGGAGAGAGAAAAAAAAAAAAAGCATAAGCTCTGTCCTGATGAGTTGCTTCTCCCAGTCATTCAGAAACCCATCAGGTAACGTACTGTTGCAGTCCAGTCTTCTTAACCATATCTTCTTGCTTATGGACATCTTTTGACACCTCTTTACGTGTTATCTCGATGACTTTCTGTAGGGCTGATAAAAAAATTGCTGTAAAAACATGCCAACTCAATAGTGCACTCCTCTCTTCCTTGCAGAGAGGATACCATATATGCTGGCCTGAATGAGACATCCTAAAGAAACCTGCTATTTAGTATTTCTAAAAATTAAAGTTTCTTCAAAAAAAAGCAGCTTTTTAAAGAGGTTTCAAGATAGGTACCCAAACAGGAATGCACCCAATTCATTAATTGCTTTTGAAAACATGAGCTTTGTTCTTTCAGCTGTGAAAAAAACCCCATCAAATAGAAGATACTAAATATTTTTTATGTTAGATGCTTATAAAAATAGCGTATTAGAAAAACAGGTAGATTTGAACTATGCAGAAAGTCTATTTTCAGTTCCTGTACTGTGCTGTTAGCATTCTACTGGCATAACTGCTACGTCTTCTGAATTTCTAAGTCTACTGTATCACTTTGCCATTCTTCTTTTAAACACGGAATCACAGAATGCTTTGGGTTGGAAGGGACCTTTAGAGGTCATCTAGCCCAACCCCCCTGCAGTGAGCAGGGACAGCTTTAACCAGATCAGGTTCCTCAGAGCCCCATCCAACCTGACCTTCAATGCTGCCAGGGATGGGGCCTCCGCTACCTCTCTGGGCAACCCGTTCCAGTGCTTCACCACCCTCATTGTAAAAAATTTCTTTCTTATGTCTAGTCTAAATCTATTCTTCTTTAGTTTAAATCCGTTATTCCTTGTCCTGTCACAACAGGCCTTGTTAAAAAGATTCTCCCCATCTTTCCTGTAGGCCCCCTTTAAGTACTGGAAGGTCGCAATAAGGTCTCCTTGCAGCCTTCTCTTCTCTAGGCTCAACAATCCCATCATATGGAACTTAATACGTTTAACATCAACAGGTATCTAATTACCTGTGTGTCTCCTTATCGGAATCCACTAAAACTTAAGACATGTCCTCAGGTAGCCCTTTATTGGCTATAGTTTCCAAATTATCCACCCTTGAGCAGATCTCTCTCACTACTAACACTCTTTACTCTCTTTCTGCCTTCCAGTGTAATGTGAATGGTTATATTCTCCTCTCTCTTCAATACCTGGAAAGCCAATTTAACTCACTGTTTTCCTTCAAACATCTCAGTTTTCCTTCCCACTGTTGTTTCATTCCTG